AGCCCTTGGTAGCCTGAGGCGGATGAAAGTCAGATTGAGACCAGCTACGACTCCACAGCGGGCTCCGTCTCAACAGTAAAAATAAACACAGACCCCCAAAACAACACAGCAAAACCAGACCACAAAATGAAATAAACGCAACAGTTCCTAGAGTCAGGGTAAGAAGAGGAAGAATGGGTAGTCACTTGGTCCTTTGGTGGATGACATAGAGTGCTGTGGCGGTTAGTTTTTATGTCATGTGACACAAACTGGAGTCATTTGGGAAGAAGAAGCTTCCATTGAGAAAATGTCTCCATCCGATTGGCTTTTAGGTAAGCCTGCAGAGCACAATGGGAGGGTCCAGCCCATTGTGGGTAGTGCCACCCCTGGGCAGGTGGCTCTGGGTGGTATAAGAAAGCCAGCTGGGGAAGTTTTGGAGGGCAGCAAGTGGCACCCCTCCATGGCCTCTGCTTCAGCTCCTTCCCTGCTGGAGTTCCTGTCTTGGCTTCCCTCAATGACCGATGGTGAAGGGGATGTAGAAGCCAAATCAACCTTTTCCCCTCCAAGTTGCTTTTGGTCTGGATGTTTGATTACAGCAATAGAAAACAAACTCAGAAAAGAGCGAAGGAACTGTGAATTCGTTGAGTGTAGGCTTTCAGGTCCTTCTAAGGGACGTCAGAGCTCTTCTCTAAGGAAGGATGGCTAAACATAAGATGTAGATGTGGTTAAAGGGATCCGAGTGTCTGGGGTTAGTGAGATGGCTCAGTGGGTAAGGGCGCTTGCTACTAAGATTGCTGACCTGAGGTTCATCTGAGTCCCACAGAATGGAACTCATTCCCCTGCTAATTATTCTGACTTCCACACACTGAGGTACAAATGGGTCCCCCCCCCACCGAATAAATGCATGAATGTTCAAAAAAATTATCTTGTCATTTGTGATGGGTAATCGAATTTCAGTGAGACAGACAAGTGGCTTTTCTGAAGACAAGCTTGTGCAGGACAGTTGGGGAAGAACGCTGTTTGACATAAGCTGCCCAGGGTGGATCTTTATAAAAGGGGTTACTCCATTTTTATTCCTTTAGGTTTTTGGGGGCCCGCCACCCAACTCCCAAGTCAACATACATGGAGGCTCATTTTTACTTATAAATGCCCGGCCTTAGCTTGACCTATTTCTAGCCAATTTTATTTTAACTTAAATTAACCCATCTACCTTTTGCCCCTGGGATTTTTCTTTTTCTTACTTCTGTATATCTTACTTTCTTTCTGACTCCGTGACTGCTGTGTAGCTGTGCAGCTGGGTGGCTGGCCCCTGATGTCCTTCCCCTGGTTCATTTGCTCTTTTTGTTTATCCTCTCTGCCTGCCAGCCCTGCCTATCCTTGCTCCTGCCTCTCTATTGTTCCTTTAGCTCTTTATTATACCATCAGGTGTTTTAGACAGGCAACGAATCACAGGTTCACAGAGTTAAGCAAATGCAGCATAAACAAAAGCAACATATCTTTGCATCATTAAACAAATGTTCAACAGTATAAACAAAATTATCCAACCTTTAAATAATATTCCCCAACACTCCATAGTTTATGGGTAGGGGCTATGATCAAAGAGGCAGCAAAACAAGAGCACGAGGTAGCTTATAGGTGGCATAGCTGAAGATTGACACCCATGTGGGCACAGGTCTGGCCATTAAGTTAGACTGGATTGGATATCTCAAGTAGGCAAATCAAGAAAAGTGATCATACCTTATGTAGCCAGAGACCCAAATAATCACACAGAAACTATATGAATTACAACACTGTTTAGCTGATGGCTCCAGCTTATTAACCATCTCTCACAACTTAAGTTAACCCATAATTCTTGTCCGTGTTAGCCACGTGCCTTGGTACCTTTTATCAGTGAGGCATTCTCATCTCTGCCTTTCCTCTTCCCAGAATTCTCTTACTCTGGTTGCCCTGCCTATACTTCCTGGCCAATCAGCGTTTTATTAAAGTAGTATGAGTGACAAATCTTTACAATGTACAAAAACATTATCCCAAAGCACCTTGAGAAAATTTAATTTCTACTAAAACGTTTATAGCTCAAAGTATACTGTTAACAGGTATGGCTACTGTGCATAGAAATAACCCCAATATCCATACAAATTCCTGGCTCTTACCTAAGTAGTTTATGTTATGTTAAATCTAGTCACCTACTGGGTCTTTTGAGATAGGGCCTTGCTATGTTGCCCAGATTGGACCTGAACTGCCAGGTTTAATTGGGTTCTCCATTTTCAGCCTCCCAATTATCTTGATACTACAGGTTTGATCTATCACATTGCCTAATATTTTTTCTTTGTCATTTTTCTTATCTCTTTCTACCCACCTACCTACTTATCAATTATATATCTTCAATCTTTCTTTCCTTTAAAAAGTTTAAAAATATTTCTTTTTATAATATGCGTAGGAATGTTTTTCCTGCCGTGTATGTATGTCACCATGTATGTGGTTTTGGAGGTAAGAAGAGGGTATTGGATAATGCCATGGAACTGTAGTTACAGATGGTTGTTAGCTGCCAGGCCAGGTGGATGCTGGGAACTGAACCCAGGTCTTCTCTAAGAACAGTAAGTTCCCTTGACTGCTGAGCCATCTTTTCTGCCTCAGAATCTGATTTTTATTTTTAGAGATTTTATTTATTTATTTTTTTGTAGTGGGATTCTGTGGGATGTCTCTTTGATGCTGTGAATATGTTTTAATTCCATTGATTAATAAGTAAGTTGATTTGACCAATAACCAGGCAGAATATAGCTAGGCAGGAAATTCAAACAAAGATACAGGGAGAAAGAAGGTGGAGTTGGGGAAGATGCCATCAGCGGCTGGAGAAGCAAGATGTGAGGTAACAAGCCACGAGCCTCATGGTAAAATATAACCTAATTGAAATGGGTTAATTTAAACGTAAGAGCTAGCCAGAAATAAGCCTGAGCCATCAGCCAAACAACTGTAATTAACATTAAGCATCTGATTATTTCATAAGCAACTGCAGGGATCAGAGGTTGGGAGAGAAACTGGTCCTCTGGGACCGGACAGGACCCAGAGAAGACTTCCAGTTAGAGTGCGTGGTCATGGGAGATTTTCATTAATTTAGTGTTTTTGTGGGGGTATGTTGACTTGAGGGCAGGTGCCCTCTGAGGACACAGGCATCAGATACCCTTGGAGCTGGAGTTTCTGCTAGCTGCAAGCCACCTGAGGTGGGTTTTGGAAAGTGTGAACTCACGTCTCCTGGAAGAGCAGTACATGACATCGTAATCACAGAACCATCTCTCCAGCCTCAGGTCTGTAATTTTTTTTTCTTTCTTTCTTTCTGAAACGGGGTTTCTCTTTAGTCCTGCTGTCCCAGAACTCGCTCTATAGATTAGGCTGGTCTCGAACTCATAGAGATAATCTGCTTGCCTCTGCCTCCCTAGTGCTGGGATTAAAGGCGTGCGCCACCATCGCCAGGCTAGTAATGTGATTCTTAAGAAGTGGCTAGAAGGGCCAATCTGGGGGCCACAAGCCTGATGATTGGCATAGGAGAGAACCGACTCCTGTATGTTGTCCTCGACCTCCATATGTGTCTCCCCTCCCCGTCAAGTTCATGACTTCAATTATTGGTGTTTTACTCCCCCCCTCCCCCCCCCCCCCACACAAAGAAACGTTAAAAAATTAACATAGTGTTTCAGGACAGCCAAGGGTATGTAGAAAGACCCTGTATCACCACCCCCCAAATTTAAAAGGGGGCTAGAATTACTTCTTGGGTCTATGCTCAACATTCTGATTATAACCAACGAGCAAAGTCTCAAGAGGATCTGAGCGTTGTCCCTCTCATCCCAACACTTGTCAAAAAAATTTTTTTTTCTCTCATGAAAACAAATCGCGCCTATCTTCCCCCTCCCCCAACCCCGGTCCCTTGATAAAAGAAATTTCTAAATGCCACTACTGCGAGAGAACAACTTTTCTTTCCTTAGCTGCTGGAGGACGATTCAGATGTTCACTTGTGTTCTGACTGAAGTTGGTTCCAGGCAGAAGTGGGAAGAAGAAATGGAAAAAAGTGGACTTTCCTGAGAGGAAATGAAAACTTGTTTTGTGTAATGCTCTGGGGAAAGCTGGACAGGCAGACGTGGCTGTTTACGTTTAAGCTACCATTTCGACAAATCTTCCGGAATCCAACTAGTCAGGAATATGAGGCTGGGTCGTTAAGGCCTCGGTCACTGGGTATGCTAACAGGTTACCTCAAATAAACGGCACATCAAGTCATATATTACGTTTGGGAACGTGCTGATTATAAAATCGCTGCTCCTGTCTCTGTGACCTGAAGGTAGGTCTGGTTGCTTAGGGGGGGAAAAAATCCTGAGGATATGGCTGCTTGCCTAAAAGTGAAGGACGTGCACAGTCTTTGCCTATCTTGTTAATCACGTCATCTTTGCTTCATCACTCCCATTTCTTTGAAGACGGAAAAAAAAAAAAACTCAAGTCAGAAATAGCAAATCCTAAGGTTTTAATGATCAGAGCGAGAGCCTGTCTTAGCCTGTACCAGAAACAAACCAACTAGCTACGAGGACTCCGCACTGCGGAGCGGAAAGCTACGTCTCTCCAGCAAACCCAAAGGTTTCATCATCTGCCAATCGCAGGCCGCGACTTCTCGGACGAAACGCCCACGGGGAATGATTGGCACTAAGTCCATCCTATTGTCGCTGAGAAGGTGGAAGAGGTGGGATCTGAATCGACCAATAGTGTGCAGTAAAATGTTGTAGAGGAGGGAGGAAGGCACCAACCAGAGTGCGTGAGGCTGCTCCGGGAAGCGATGGCAGGAAGCCTACCCAGCCAATGGCCGCGGCGGGCTGGTGGTGGCGCGCGTGCGCACTGGGGGTCCCGGGGCTGCAGGCGGGAGGTTGGGGGAGGGGAGCGAGCTGGAACGCGGCGGAGCTCCTGCCGCCGCCGCAGCCACCGCCGCAGCGAAGAGGCCATGTTGTGTGGTGTGTGGGGCGGGTGGGGGGGGGAGGAGGAGGAGGGAGCAAAGCCGAGCGAGGAGACGGGAGAGACACCACACACGGCACAAGATGGCCGGAGAGGCAGCAGCAACCCGAGCTGTCAGGCGGCCCGCCGCGGCCCACGGGCTCGCTGCTGCTCTGGGAGCGGCGCCCGGCCGTCCCGGAGGGCTCCGGGGGAGCGAGGAGGCCGCCGCCGAAGTGAGGTGGCCGTGCGCGGGTGCGGGAACCCGCGGCAGAGGTGCCCGGGAAGGCCGGGCCCGCGAAGCCCGTGGCTCCGCTGCGGCAGCCGCGGGTGCGCGGCTGGGAGGCGGCCGGCGCCGTGGGCGGGAGGTTACGGCGGGCAAGCAGTCCCGGAGACGCGGGGAAGAGTGAGCCGAAGGCGCTGGAGGCCGTGCTTGGACCCGGTGAGTTGCTCCCCAGCTCCCTTTATTGTCCTTTGTCCTTGGGAGGAAAAGCACGACGTCCTTGAGGGCGGGCGGGAGGGGCTGCGGGTTGCTCGCCGGTTCTCCACTGGCAGCCCCGGGTGCAGCCGCCGAGAGCCGAAGCCACCCGGGCAGTGGGTCGGACTCCCGCGTTCCCTCTGCACAGCCTGCCGGCCTCCGGGCTGTCCTCCGAGGCTGCGGGGAGAGGGCGGCGGCCGCGCCACGGAGCCCCTGCCTGCTCGGGTGAGTTATTTTTCTAAGCGTGAAACAACAACAAGCCTCCGGAGACGGCCTCTTAAAAATCTCTTCCCGGCGAGGTGGGAACCCATCTTCAGGATAGGATTTAAAAGAACAATGGAACGTCTTACTTCGCTTAAACCATAATAAAACTTGTCCTTTCCCCCATCTCCCTGTTGGGTGTTGGCTTTTAACTCTTTCCAAGCTGTTTTTGAGAAGGACTGTTTTCTAAATGCTCGTTAAAACGTCTGTGACGTTTGTTGTCTTTTAGAAAAGGCAAGTTACAGGAGTGCTTCTGGTATTTCAAACATGACGACGGCAACAAGGCAGTTTAATGGAAGTAGATTTGATAATTTCGGTACTAGGTGATGACGTTTGATGAATACATCTTATTTTTACCGAGTGCTTTTGCCTAGACCATTTGGCATCCTGATATTTGAGCCTAACTATACTGTTGGATACTTTTTTTTCGGTGAATGGAAAGAGTCCTAATGGGTAACTTTTCTCACACCTGAGTGTTAAAACGTTCTTGAGTCAGTTGCTACCCTTTAAAAGTTAAAATTCATCTTGTTATTTAAAAAGACAGAATTATAGTTTTTCAAATCGTAATCGAAAAAGTTTTATAAAGGAATATTGTAATAGCACAATTGTTCCGGAAGTTACTTTCCATAGTGTAAATAGTGAAGTAGGACTGGCCGTGATGGGCGATGAAGAGGGGCCATATTTGTTGCATTTGTTGCAAGTATAAAGTCGAGATGTGCTTAAAAACGGAACAGGGTTGAAAAAACAGTTGCAACGAAAACCGCAGTTTTCTTTAAAAGTACTTGAGATAATTCAAGTTTAATTGTTAGGAGAAGCATCTAGGAATGTACAGACCTTTGTGTATTTTTGAATTTGACTTTTATTCTGCGGAACCCTTGTGCTATAAAGGTGAAGAATTGCGTAAAGACAATGTTGGGGAGACTTACGTTGTCCATCGAAAATCAAAGATACGGGTTGACTGGACCATGTTTCATAGGGTAATTCCAGTAAAAAACAATTGGAATACCTTTTATAGGTTAGTGCATGGTATATGAGTTGCGCATACCTTGCTTTCACAGAATTGAAGTACTAATTTTGTTTTTTTGAAATGAACGCTTTGAAATGTTTTATCACTGAAAGTTGTTTTAAAGAGATTTGGAATTCGTAGTTCTTCAGAAACCTTTTTGACTAGGAAAATGTAAAAGTAACTACTAGCAGTTTAAGGTCTTAGGATCTTTCATGATAAATTGGGCAGGAAAAAGACAAAATATTCTGGACCCTCGTTTGAAATTGAATGAAGGTCATAGATACCACAAGTTTTAGAGCTGTTTAATAGACAAAACTAATATCCCATTTGGTGAGATCAAATAGCTTGTAGTTTAAAATTTAAAGTAACCAGTGGCCATTTTAAGTTCACTAATTTCTCCTGGAGGAGTTGATTTTTAATGCTCTTAAATGTAAGAGGTATTTGTAGATGGTAAAGAGAAATTTAAGATGATGGCTTTCTCTAAAATTGCCAACTTTTTCTATGCTTTTGGTTATTACTTGATTTTTAAGAAGGGAAAAGGAAAGCAAATTGGTAGTAATTTGAATTTTTGTATTTCTTATGGATTGCAATGTTTTAATGTCTAGGATTTCTCAGTACAGTGCCAAATGAGGAAAACAAAGACTGATAGACATTAAAGATAGGACTAACTACAGCCCAAATGTGCAGGTCCTGTCTCCCCACCTCCTGTCCACCCATCTCCACCTGGATCTTGTCTTTGGAATATTTTCCTCCTTTCATCATACCGAGTCTTTTGCCAATATATCTGTAAAAATCAAAACACTTAAATTATTTTTCTTATTTTTTTTAAAGGTAATTTACCAGATTATAATTAGTGTGGTTGCTGATGATTCTGAATAAATACAGCTTTTTTCCCCCAGGTAAGATTGGTAAATATGTTGGTTTAACATATAAATTAATTTGCTAGATTTTTGTTTTGCCTTTTGAATAACTGTATTCTTAGCGTTCAGTTAATATTGTTTTAAAAAGTGATTGAATGAATATATATCTGAAATTTAAAAAATCTTCAAGGAGCCCTTTTACTAAGTTGTTAAGAATATTTGTATAGCCATTGTAATATAATGTACTTTTGAATAGCTTAAAATAATACTGCCTGTCTTTTAAGACTTTGTTTAATTTTGTTAATAAGCTTTTGCAGCCAGACATGGACCAAAAATGTTTTCCCCCCTTCACCGCTTTAAGATACCACACAAATGATTTTTAACATTTTAAGTATTTAAGGAAATTTAGGCTAAGCTTTTCGAGCAGTCTTTAAGTTTGATCTAAGCATCGATAGTAGTTTTTGTTCCGTATAAAGTTCTCACATTTCTATTTGTTACTTCTTCGTCAGGATGTTTTTTAGAATATGATTTGTTTTCCTCAAAAGGTGTGCCATTTTGAAGACGGAGACAATAGAGATTTATCTTTAAGAATAAAGGAGAGTCCCTGGGAAGTTCTATATTTTATATAGCAAGTAAGTTTTTTAATCATTATATTTGAATATTTTCTAACATTTGAGTAGAAAATTATCACTAAAGTTGTCAATGAGACAGACTGCTTATATAAAAATGGCAAAATATTTTTACCCTAAACTAAAATACTTTGTGTTAACTATTAAAACAATTGCTACTATAAATTTATATGAATGCATGCAGTTATATCCAGTAGTAAGACATTTATTTGGTCTTCCCAATAAAATGGTGCTTGTCTTTGCGTGGGTTAAATCTCCGATTAAACCAGTGCAGTTCTTGCAGTCTGAAAGATGGACTGTTTAGCACCTTCTCTGCCCATCATGCAGCACCTGCCTAAGAAATTTCATAATTATTATTCCCCTTGCTTCCTAAAAGAACTGTATTTCAAAAGCTAAAAACAAACTTTGATGTCTTTGTTATTTTATGGCTAAATTATTCATTATTACTAGCTTGTTATTTCAACAAGTGCAAAAATAAACTGATTTTCCAGCAAACTAAGCGCTGTCCTCCATCATGAATCTTGGTTATTGTTTTTGAACCCGAAAGAGAAATAATTTCAAGCACAAAAGGTTTTGGGTTTAGCATACTATGAGCAAACTGCGTTTATATTTTAATAGGTGAATATTAAGGCGAATGAAGAAAATTTACTACTACTATACATAAATAGATCTGTTCATGCAAGCTAGAATCCAGAAATAATATTCAATTATTTTAAGTAATTGCCAGAGAAAATATGTGATACTTTGGGGAAAAAAAATTAAGCAATGAATTAATTAAAATGGATTGCACATTCACTTATGTTGGAAATCTACAGAAAATTAAGTTTGTGTTACTTGGTTTTGATTCAAATAGGTAATAATGTTAATAGACGTATTTTTATTGTCTTTATGTTAGCTTAATGAAGTATTTTTGCATTTTTTTGAAGTTTGTATTGTATACAAAAGAAAATAATAGGCTTAAAATCTATAATCTTTCAAGGATAAGACTATACAAAGGTATTTTTAATCTTATATTGTGTTTTTTTTTTTTTTTTGGTTTTTCGAGACAGGGTTTCTCTGTGGTTTTGGAGCCTATCCTGGAACTAGCTCTTGTAGACCAGGCTGGTCTCGAACTCACAGAGATCCGCCTGCCTCTGCCTCCCGAGTGCTGGGATTAAAGGCGTGCGCCACCACCGCCCGGCTTAATCTTATATTGTAACAGATGTTAAGATTACGATTTTCTCATCGCAATTGATAGAATGTGTAGTTGGCATTTGTTGGATATTGCTATAGAAATTGACAATAAGGTATTTTGTATGATGCTGTTAAAAGTTAAGCTAAATAGGCAATGTGTTTATAATGGCCTTCTTAGAGCTATAATTTTAACAGAAAAAGTAAAAGCTGAAGGTTAGAATTTTTTTTTTATTTTTGTTTTTCGAGACAGGCTTTCTCTTTGGCTTTGAAACCTGTCCTGGAACTAGCTCTGTAGACCAGGCTGGTCTCGAACTCACAGAGATCCGCCTGCCTTTGCCTCCCGAGTGCTGGGATTAAAGGCGTGCGCCACCACCGCCCGGCTGAAGGTTAGAAATTTTAAATGAAATTTTGAGCTTTTTTCATAGTAAGTGATGTAATAACTGCTAAATTAATTCCTAGCCTTTTGAGGCAACTTTTATAACCAAGATAAATAAATTACATTTTATGAAGAACCACATGTATTATTACTATCTTTATGATACTGATTATATTTAGTGTGTGAATTACTCAAGCTAATTTGATGGAAAAGTTTACTGGCACATGAGGGTAGTTGTCAGAATCTTATGTAGATGGGATTATTTGACCTACAAAGGTATATGTTATAATTTTATTATATCATCAAGGTAAAATTTTTTTTTTTTTTTGGTCAAGTATTTTCTACTTTAAAACTGTAGTAATGAATACTTAATCTTAGTGTTTTGGACAAATTCCTTAATTTTTTAATTAAAAATATCCTTATCTAGCTGTGTTAGGTTGGAATACATTTAATGTTTCCATAACATTAGAGGATTAATATAGCAAAAAATTAAAAGAAGCTGTGTTGCAGCTAATCACAAGTGATTTTTGGATCATGAAACTGACATTTATAGATTTGAATATGTAATATAGGTGGTTATAATGTAAGTCTTCTTTCGGCTTTCCCATTGCTTTTTGACCATTTAAAAATCTGTTTTATTTGTCCTTTGACATTTTACTGTTGAATCAGATGTATGTGATGATCGAGCAATCAGGATGCTTCTTCACCTATAATGTAAATAGGGTATATAATCTTGACTTTTATTCTGGAGTCTTGAATCTTTTAATTTGTGTGAAGGGTTTAGAGTGTACAGCTTTCATCGCTTTGCTCTTAAATTGTGTGATTAAAAATAATTCCGAGGACTATTTTGGCTGTGGAATGTATTTTTTTTTTTTTACCCCATTGCTTATTGGGAATTATGTCTGTTGTAACACTACTAGAATAATAAAACATAGGACAGTTGCCTATATAGTTTTGATGTGTTCCCAAATGTTTACAGTGTTAATATAGATACCAGAAAAGTAATTAAGTATGAAATTGAGTCTGAAGATACAGCTCAGGTGATAGAGGGCTTTGTTAACGTGCACAGAGCCCTGGGTCCAATCTCTAGCATTGCAGAAAGCTGTTTGGTGGTGTACATCCCTATTTCTAGCCCTTGGGAAGTGGAGGCAAGGAACTCAGACATTCAAGGTCATCAGCCTCAAAAAACATTCTCTGTAAACAGTGAAGATTTAGATTTCTGCTATAAAAGCATTTAAATTTTGTTCTACTGTAGTAAACATATTCAAAGGTGACTGTTCTCATGTTTACAGTTGACCTTGATTATAAGCAAGATTTAGTTTTTATGCCTTCTATGTTTTAATTTCTTCTCATAGAAAGATTTCTGCATTTCAAAGGTAAATGACCTCAGTTCACAGATTTCTCCCCCTTCTAGGTTTAATGCAAAATTTATTTTCAAAGGCTATTTTAAATTGTGTTTATTTATTTGTGTGAACATGGAGGTCAGGGACAGCCTTTAGGAATTGGCTCTTCCATGAAGATTGTTAGGCTTGGACATCAAAGCACAGTTAAGCTCTGAGCCAATTTAGCTCTACTTTAGCATTGAAAGTGCTGGCATTACCAGTGCCAGGCGTCATGTCTTATACCCTAAATTTAAGAATATTACAAATCTTTTGTGATAGGCGGCCTGATTATATGGCCTGATTATTTTCCACCCACCCACCCATCCATCCATCCATCCATCCATCCATCCATCCCTCCCTCACTTCTCTATGTAATAGCTCTGGCTCTCCTGGAACTCACTTTGCAGACCATGCTGGCCGTAAATTTACAGAGATCTGCCTGCTTCTGCTTTTGCGGGTGTGGCGGGGTCAACTGGTTTTTTAAAAAGGCATTTCTTGCTAGGATTTATACATTATTTAATAAATCTCCAGAGGTCTGTGCTTCAGGAGACGTTTTTACCTTAAATTTATTTTAATATTTGTGTGTTTGCAAATTTGAATTTGAAGGTTAAAGGACAACTTGACGAATAGGCTTCTTTCACCTTCTGGGTTGCAGGAAATAAATTCAGGGTTTCTTAAGATTTAAAACCTTTTATGAGAATGAGTGTTTTGCTTGCATGTATGTATTTGCACTGTGTGCATGCCTGGTGCACTTGGAGGTTATAAGAGGTTATTGGATTCTCTTCAAACTGGAGTTAAAGATGGTTGTGAGCCATCATTTGGGGTACTGGGAACCAAACCCTTGTTTTACCCAAGAGCAACAAGTACCTTAACTTCTGAGTTATCTCGTTAGCCACAAGATTTAAATGGTTAATGTGTACCAGTAATCATAATCCTTTCAATTCAGATTACCAAGGTGGTTTTAAAATACATACTTTGTTTGTGTGTATGTAAGTATGTATTAGACATATTTTCAGTCTGGAGTTAAGAGATTACAGGTGTCAACCATCATGCCTGCTTTTTTGATTTTTTTTTTAAACCAATTCTCTCTCATTTTTGGTTTTTCAAGACAGGGTTTATTTGTAGCTTTGGATCCTGTCCTGTAACTAGCTCTTTTAGACCAGGCTGGCCTCGAACTCACAGAGATCTGCCTGCTTCTGCCTCCCGAGTGCTGGAATTAAAGGCAGTGCCACCACCGCCCTGCTTAAAGCAGTTTTCTTAAGAGATTCTAATGCCTTTGTTTTATTTCATTTTGGGACTGATCAGACTGGACAAAATGCTTGGATTTCCACAGTACTACTCCCTCTGTGCCTTGCAAATGTCTCGCTATCCTGTCTTTGTTAACATTTTCTCAAAGTTCAGAGTTCTTAGATTTTAATGATAGAGTTTAAAAATTCAAGGGATTAAAGAAGCAACAGTTGTTCTTGACCTTTACTGTCAAAGGGCCAGCATTATATGCTTATTTATATTCCCTAAAGTTTATTTTTATATCACAAAGTACATTTTAAAATCTGAGACAGGAATTTGCAGAAAATCAGACTGCTGTTCTACTTAAACTGAACTGGACTTTTCATCCCATTTTGAAGGGTGACAAAATACTATTCTATATTTTCTCAACTTTGAGAAAGGAGAACCTGTGCTAGATTTCATCAGTGTTAATAATTCCACTCTACTGTAAAGTGAGATCAAAAACCTTCTTTTCGTGGTTTCAGAACATAAAAATTTCTTGGATTGATTAATATGGTGACTTAGTCAAAATCATATTACTAGCCGGGCGGTGGTGGCGCAGGCCTTTAATCCCAGCACTCGGGAGGCAGAGGCAGGTGGATCTCTGTGAGTTTGAGGCCAGCCTGGTTTACAAGAGCTAGTTCCAGGACAGGAATCAAAAAGCTACGGAGAAACCCTGTCTTGAAAATTTAAAAAAAAAAAAAAATCATATTACTAGACCACTATGATGAAGTTCTCTTACAAGTGCTAGAAACACTTTCTTTTTATCCAATATTTCTTTTTTTTTTTTTTTTTTTTGGTTTTTCGAGACAGGGTTTCTCTGTAGTTTTGGAGCCTGTCCTGGCACTAGCTCTTGTAGACCAGGCTGGCCTCGAACTCACAGAGATCCTATCCAATATTTCTTAAACATTTCCTACCCCTTTAAAAGGACAATCAGATTATTGTTTACTTTTAATGATACTAGTTTGAACCAAGGAACTCATGTGCTAGGGAAGCCTTCTTTCTCTTACTGGCTGGCATCCCTTGTCCTGAGTCAATTTAGTTTCCTGTGTGTTACGGTTGACTTAATTCACAATTCACAAAAGTCTTCTTCCTATTAAGGTCAGTCTACACTAGAGGTTTAAAAATTTGAAGACCATTGTTTTGCTTTGCTTTTTTTTTTGTTTTTTTTTTTGTTTTTTCGAGACAGGGTTTCTCTGTGGCTTTGGAGCCTGTCCTGGAACTAGCTCTGTAGACCAGGCTGGTCTCGAACTCAGAGAGATCCGCCTGCCTCTGCCTCCCCAAGTGCTGGGATTAAAGGCGTGTGCCATCAGCGCCCGGCTTGCTTTGCTTTCTTATGTAGATATTTTAGTACCTACCTTAATAGTAACTTCTAGACAGATCATTGCTACATTATTACAAATAATGAATTAGATTTGGTAATAAATAGAGAGGGCACTTGCAAACGATTCCTAAGAAGTTTGTTTGATAGCTTAATTCTTAAACATTATGTTTTTTTAATCTCAAATTGCTACAGTTTGATATTAAGGTTTTTAAAAATATTTTGTGTGTTTGTAGATCAGAGAAAACCAATGTGAGTTAGTTTTCTTTTTTCCATATGAGTACCTGCCGTCCTCCTAGTCAGCAAATATTTCTACCTTGTGACACATCTCACTGTGTCCTTGGTGGAGACTAGTCTCCTGTATATAACCTACGCTGACATTAAACACTCTTGGTTCAACCCAACCCCCTGAGTGCTGGCATGACCTTAACTTTCAGTTTTTTGTTTGTCTCTATATTTTTATTTTAAATTCAGGGTTTCCATATGTTAAGTGCTATACCACTTAGATTTCTCAATAGGTTTTCTCCCTCCCATAATAAGTTTCTCCACCAACTCATTATGCCAGATCGAGCCAAGTTAGAAATGTATAACAAGAGGTGTACTGAGCAAAGCAGCTCCGTGACCGGCCTCAGTGACTTAGGCCTGAGAAGTCATGCTCCCAAACCAAAGCAAGGAGATCTTATAGATTGTAGGCAAGGGATGATGACATGTCCACCACACAAGCTGAGTTTGTGCCTATTATGGTCAAAGGTTAAGTGCTTAGGTAGGGACTTGACTTGCAACTTCAGGGGAGGAAGCTGTAATAGCCGCTAAGAATGGTGAGTTGGGCTTTTTGGTGCCTTTCCCTTGTCAGGAGACTCTGGGTAGTGGGGGTTTGGATTGGGTAGGTCGAGCATTGATGCTCTAATGGAACACCTATTTCTTATTTTGTGATAATTGTAATAGAAAATTCAGGCAAATGAAAAACCTGTCCTTATTTCAGAAAGTACTTGAGATGTAAGATATTTCCCATATTTTGTTATGAGGAATTTAAGTCAGTAACTAGTAAAGTCTTGATAAACCAACTGCACATATAAGAATTAGTATTGCTGGCCGGAGGGCTGGTGGTGTAGCACACCTGTAATCCCAACACTTGGGAGTCAGAGGCAGGTGGAGCTCAGTGAGTGGAAGGTCAGAGAAACTGTCTCAGAAAAACCCAAAATAGTGTTATTTTTGGAGCATTTAAGTGCCTCTTGGAGGGGACCTAGTGTGGCTCTCAGCACTCACACTGCTTGTAACTCCAGCTCCAGGATATCCAGTGCCTTCTTCTGGATGTGAACAGAGTGCACATCCCCACACATAGACAAAAAGTCATAAAATAAGTCTTAAGGAATTAGTGTTAGTCAAATAAATAGTATAGTTGATAGTAATTTGAAATGATGTCTATGCTAACATTTAGAAATATTTATTATGTATATGATTATGTTATGTTGATTTTAGCACATGGTAGATACGAAGTGATATGGGAATGATCTTGGAGATAGGTAGCAAAGGTCTCTTTTTGAAGACTTGAAAGTTTATTAGATGGGAGATTAGTATGGATTAATTCTGTACTGTAACTTATTTTCTCTAGTTTCAACCCTGGATATTCAATCAAATTCGTGTAGGACCTCAATAATTACTCCTTTGGAGTTTTTGTACTGTGACTTAGGCTTATTTTAGTAACTGTTCTATAAGTTTGCACTTCCAAATCTAAGATCTTGTCACAATTTTTCTATCTTTTGCTTGTATTATTCTGTTCATAAACTGTATTTCTTGGTCTGTAGGTTCCTTCTTAGAAAATACTGCAGTTGTGATACGTCATACATAGGATTTAATAAAATCTATTCTGTCTTTTGCAGAAATGTGGATTCCCAGATGGAGTGAAATAACAATACCACAGACATTGTTGAAGCATTTAGTAAGTCTTAATCTACTTGTTGGATTTGATTTTTAATTTTAAGTGTCACTAGATATTTTAAATGTCACTTACTGATTTGGAATTATAAGCTTTGTCAAAGCTGTAAACAGTGAAAGAAAATCCACATAGTGGTTAAATGTGAAGTTTATTTCTAGAGACAATGATTACTTTATACTTGGTGGACTTGTAATTCATTATGTACATCAGGCTAACCTGGAACTCAGATCTGCTTACTTCTACATCCTGAGTGCTGGGATTAAAGATGAGCCATCATGATGGGGTCAGGATATAAAACATTAAGACCAAGAAACCGTGGAACTTTTTTCCAACATCCTGGATTTGGGTGTCCCTTTGATTTTGTAAAGTCCCTCTTCCTACCCCCAAGTATACCTGGACTGTTCATTCTGTTCATTTAGATACTGTGGTTGCTTTTCTATTACAGTTAGAGTTGAGAATACTTGTCTGAAATATAAGAGGATACTTTGCACTGAAAATGCATAGCCTAGAATGTTTATAGTTTGGTCTCCAAAGAAAGACTGTGGTTTTAGAGTCTATGCTACTTTTATGATGTAGAACACAAAAGCCCTTTGGTTCTCTCTTTACAATAGAAATTAGTTTTAATGGATTTCTAGTTGTAATTATTTATGATAAATTAACTGAATTTAAACTTCAATACTAAAACTTTTGACTTATTGACATAGAAATGGCTATTTGATGTAAGATATGTTATAATTACCACTACTGTGAAGTAGGTTTTCTAATTCCAAACTTGTCAAGTAGTAGGAAGGAGTAAAATGAGAAGGGTGGTAAACCATTTTGAGTGAATTGCCCAAAGGATTTATTCATTAGCAACAAACTTTTAAGATAATTGTCTACTATTTATTTCATAGGAGTAAAATCTAGATTCCGAGTGACTTTTTTCCCATTATTGCTACTTGAGATAGCAGTGGTTGTTAAGACCTACAAAACAAAGTTTTTGTTTTTCCTGAAGGAGAGTGAATAGACCCCAAATTTGCCTAGTGCACTATTTGCTAGTTTCCAGTGTGGTCATTCTTAGAGATTAGTTGCCTGGTACATGGTACCTACTCAGTAAATATTTGTTCATTTATTGGATTAGTGTAACTTTTATTAAACATTATCAACTCATACTTTGAGTCTAATGAAAGGTGAAGTGAAATTCATTATTAAAATAAAAATGTTATTGGTGTAAAATGTAGGTGTGGTTAAGAGCTAAAATTTTGGCATAGTAAAAATTACAATATGTATAGCCCTCCCACCATACTCAGTATCTTTATCTTGGCTTCATTATTAGATTGTAAAGCCATAGAAAAGATGACTTTTGCTTTATCATATTTGACCTCATCCTTTCATTAATGAAGACTGGCTAGTGTTTTTGAAATATTTTACTGCCAGTTTTTATATCTATGTTATTTAAGACTCAGATTTGTTAATCTATTCTGATGAGGATTCAATCTATTTTTTAAAATAAGAGAAAATAGATTGTACTCGTCAGGGCTTTCTTACATATATTAAATTTTTTTAAAAAATATTTATTTATTTATTATGTATACAATATTCTGTCTCTGTATATGCCTGCAGGCCAGAAGAGGGCACCAGACCTCATTACAGATGGTTGTAAGCCACCATGTGGTTGCTGGGAATTGAACTCAGGACCTTTGGAAGAGCAGGCAATGCTCTTAACCTCTGAGCCATCTCTCCAGCCCCATATATTAAAATTTAAAGACAAAGCAAAAGATAAAAATCAAGTCATAAGTGCTAGGTATATTTTGCATGACAGGAAAGATGAGTTTTTGTACTAAATTAATATTTTCTTTGTTTTCCTCCTTTAGTTGTAAAACAAGCATTTAGCTTTTGAAAAACTATAATTTCACTAATAGTAGCCTTATAGCCATTTATTAAAAATTAAGATCGTTAATTTTCTTTTTAAGTTTTTGCCCTCTGTATTTATTTTTGCTGTTAAAACTGGTAAAGATATGATGGGCATGGTGGCAGAAACCTGTAATCTTAGTACTTGGGAGAACTGGCATCAGATGTTCAGGGTCATTCTTGGTCTCAATGTGAGGCTACTACAATGGATAGACTCTAAAATATTAAAGCTAGTTGAAACACAAGTACAGAACTGCTTTATTTTAGAAGAGTCATACTTATGCACCGGATGAGTCAGGGTTTTGTAAACTTATTTTTATAGCTAATTTGCTGAAGGAGAATTTGAAGAAATCCATACTCGATTTTCTGTTAAGTTTATGAATGTCTCTCCAGTGATTGGATTTCAGGAGATAATTTAATGATTACCTTGGTGACATAGAAACTTAGGTTTGCACAGGGAGTTTTCTTAGAATAAACATATTCAAGGAAGTACAAACTAGAAAATACCAATGTTAAGTTTGAATCTTTGATAGGAAACAAAGGTTCTAAGTCTGAGTGAGCATAGAGTTCTAGATCAAAGGAGTGCTTGTTCAAAATGTCTGTTAATTCACAAGTGGGTGTAGAATAAGGAATAGTTTGGTCATCAATACCTATGCTACATTGAAATATTTTCCCCAAATACAATGCTAAAGGCAAAACTGTCTTTAAATAATTGACGTCACGATCCTATGTGTTCTCAAAGATATCCTTACTGTTGGACTGGAAAGTGTTCTGACTCTTTAGTTTGAGATTCTCATATGCTTTGATTACTGTGATCTAGTGGAATGATAGCCAGCCTTTTCTGAGATCATCTCATTTAATCTTCAGTAGTACCACAAGAGGTAGTCACTAGGATCTGCTGTTTTACACATGAGGAACTGTGGTTTTGTTAACTTTATGCTCTAAGTGCTCTTGTTTGAGACCTATTTTCCTGTCAAGTAAAATTTCCTTTGTTGGGCTAGAGAGATGGCTCAGCGGTTAAGAGCATTGCTTGCTCTTCCAAAGGTCCTGAGTTCAATTCCCAGCAACCACATGGTGGCTCACAACCATCTGTAATGAGATCTGGTGCCCTCTTCTGGCATACACATAGACAGAATATTGTATACATAATAAATATTAAAAAAACCAAACTTCCTTTGTCTATTTAGTTTTTGTTAGTATTTGAAACTTCATGAATGTAAGTAGATTACTTCTTAAACCTTCACAGACCTTTGATATTTTATGAAATATGTTTGCTAATTAACAAAAATCTTGCTTTTGGCTTTGGATCATGGGCTTTGCACGAGTCCATATTGCTCATTGATTTACAGTGTTAAAGTAGTCTGTTTTCTCTTATAGTAATTTCAGATTTACTTTTTCATTATTTGAAATACATCACTTGATGACATGACAACTATGGGAGTGCAGTTTTTGAGAAGTTTCTGAATGATAATGCCATTCTTGACATTTTGAGGCTACAGCCTACTCCAGCCTCAGCAGTCTTCTTGCCTCATCCTCTCCTGAGTGCTGGGATTTCATGTGGAAGCCACCATATCTGGCCTTTTCTTTTTTGTTTTTTTTAAGGGTTTTTGTAGCAGAGGATGACTTTAATGTCTGTCCTTGATCTCCCAAATGCTGCGATTACAGGCAGGAGCTGCCACCATGTCCAGTTTTATGGGGTTTTGGGATTCTCTTGCCCAGGGGTTTGTGTATGTTAGGCACACACTCTTTTTCCCCTTAAAAATTGTTTTAGAAATAAATTGTATTATCCAGTGGCAGAAAGATAGCGCTGAGTATTAATGTACAACATTGAATAACTTGCACCTGTAACTCATTAGTAATACATTGTTAGTGTCATTTTGTCAAAGATTATATCACTGTTTCATATAGTGCCTGACCATGCATTTTAACACATAAGATAGAAGACAATATATGTTGTAATGAACTAAGCCGACATATAATTTATCATTTCTTTATTTAAAAAATTATTTTTTTATGTGTATGGATTTTGCCTGCATGCTTGTCTGTGCACCACATGCAAGCCTGATCCCACAGGAGGCCAGAAGAAAAAATGTGTCCCCTGAGCCTGAAGTTACAGTAACAGGCTGAATATGGTACTGCAAATCAAATCCGGGCCTTGGAAGTGCAAAAAGTGCTCTTAACCACTGAGCATCTTTCTAATCCCTGCAGTTATTCTGTTTTTCATTTAGAGACTTGGTCTCACTGAGTGACCCTGAACTCCCTAAGTAGATAGGTAGGCCTCAGACTCAGAGGTCCTTCTGCCCTTCTGGCTCCCAAGTACTAGAAGTAAAAAGGTATGTGCGACCATACCCAGCCATTTCTTAATTTTAGGAAAAGAACAAGGCCAGTAGTATTTCATTGACTTGGGAATAGAAAAAATTCTTTTTCATTTTTAAGGAAGGGTTTGAGAAAGTTTCAAAAATGTACTAGAGAAGAGTATCTTGATTTGGGTCTGGAGAGATGACTCAGTTAAGAATATCTTGATTTGATGATGATTACTGATGCTGTCATACTCCTTTAAAGAGTTATTTTTTTTAATTTGGGGACACTTCTGTCTTTTGATTATCTAGTTTATTAAGTATGTTTTATAATGTATGTATTAGAAAACATGGTTTTAGTTAGGGAGACAGGAAAATAGCCTAGAAGCAAACATGTATTCTGTTTCCAGTCACTGACTGTAGCTCTACAAATTGAACTAGAAAGTTGTAGAACATACAGAGAAAATTAGGAAGGGACTGAAATGGTTTTGCTGGTTCAGAAGATGGCTCAACCTTTAAGTACCTAGCTACTACCTGCCTGTAATTCAAGGTGGAGGTGCATCTTTAGAGGAAACTGACTAGCAACATGATGAGCTTTGAGTTTGACTGAGAGATCCTGCTTGAACAAAATTAAGATGATTTCTCAACATCAGTATCAAACTCGGGCCCACACATGCATTTACACCCATGTAAATTTATGCCTTCTTAGAAAAATAGGCACACATACATAAAAACTTGGAAAAATTATTTTTCAAATTTTTTGTGAATATGATGAATCCAGATTTTTAGAAGTAAAATCACCTGGAGGCTCATTTCTCCCTCTAGTACAAATTATTTAAATAACAGATTAATTTTTCTAGAAGGAACATAAACTGTTTTGACAATGAAAGTATATTTTAGTTGTTTATAATTCAAAAAGCAATAGCGTTTCTGTTGCAAATTCAAAGTAAGCCAAGCAGATGTTTCTAAATTTTTTTTGTTATTTTTTTCTTGTGGCTTCACATTTTCTGCATTCTCAGATACGTAACTATAAAGGTGCATCTGTTTTTATAGGTCATGTGTGTTATCTAAACAAAAGTAACATCTGTAAGACTTTAAAACTATGCCATGCAATCATCGATTGCTTTTTTAAAACACTCTTAAGACTCTTTATAAGTAGTTTTCTTTGAAGGAGCTTGGAAACTTTTGCATTGAAACAGTAGAATCCACAGTGTTTGTAATTTAGCTTCCCACCATTTTTAAATTTTAATCTTTGGCTTTAGTTTTCACATATATAAGAATTTGACCTTTGACTGCTATTTTTAATGGATACAAATATATTTGTGACAGGAGAAGCTACAAAATGTGCATTCACTGATTCTATTTCTGAGAGGTTAAGTTTTATCACAATAGTGAAGTAAAAGGATTTTACAGAATTAAAGATTTATGTACAATAGGATATCTTCAAGGTGGGTAGAATTTTGTTTTGAAGAAATAAGATGATATTCCAACAGAATTTTTTTCTTCTAATTTTTTTTATGAAGCATCCAGTCAGCTCGAAGAGTTTGAAATGGACTACTGAAAAATCAAGATGGCAGCCCACTATGGGGAATTGAGGAAAATGGATTAAAGCCTGAATGCTGTGATTGTTATACAACCGACACAGGGTTCTTTTCATGTGGATTCCATGAAATGAACGATTCTTACCCAACACAAATGGACAGTGGGATTTCCTTTCTAAAGACTTCCTACATATTATGTACATTTTAACATCTGGAGAAGATGTTACATTTATTCAAATACTAGTTTGTATTCCTGGAATTTCTTACAATTTTGATTTGATTGACCTTATGGAATGTTAACTTCAATAAAATCTCTAAAACTTAAAGATTTCTCAGTTTGGCCCTTTTTTAATTTTTTTTTAAGTGGACGCTTTCATTAAATGTTCATTTCTTTTTATCATTTTGACCTTTATCGTTGCTTTTCATTAAAGAATATTGAATAAAGCTGGTAAAATGGAATGGCATACTGAAGAATATTTTGTTTGGTTGGGGTTTTTTATTTACAAAGCTGTGTCAGTGTACCTGTGCTTAGTGGAATGACCTTTTGGTTAAAAAGCAATTTGGTTGGTGTCTTTTATTACAGGGTTTAAGTGAATTTCATTAAATTTGTTTGGGTCTTTTCAAAACATCTTGCATTTTAATCAGTGGGTAATAGGAACCTTGAAAGTATTATGAGATTACAATGAATTTACAAAACAAAGTACTTGTTGCCTACAGAGACTGAGACCCAGTATCTCAATTCTTGTTGATGGAAGTGACTCCGTTTACCTGTGTTTTTAAAGTATTATAAGTAAAACCTGGAATGCTCATCCTTAATATCTGAGTTACAATGATGTTTGTATTGTCTCATATCGATGTGTAATTTTTAGGATCTTTAGGGTATGCACCAAAAGGTTTAATTTTTAACAGTATTGTAATGTACATATGAATAATACCTTGTTTCCGTTCTGTCCAGTTTGTGGCTTAAATGAACCACACTGTGCTTTAGATTACCCCATGGTTAGAATCAAATGCCAGGTTTTCGTTTGCTGATCTTAGTTAATAACAGTTTTAGTAACTAATAGAAAGGAATGATGGTGAACTTTTTTTCGTTGACCAGTTCTCAGTATAGAGAACAAAGAACAAAATAATCCATTGTTAATACAAAGTATCTTAGAATATACATCTATGGTTAATACACATGCAGTGTTCGTTGATGTGAAATGGTTGTTCTTTGCTTAAATTGAAAAACGTTTTGTATTTTGATTGGAATGTAAAAATATTGGTAGATTTGAAACTTGATTATGGATTGTACATTTATTTAGATTTAATATAAGTGCTTTTGGTTGTAAAGATAAAATGAATTATCGCCTTGATGAGTGACATGGATTTGACCAGTTACAGGGCTCTGTAAAGGGGTGCTTTGTGTTTTTAGGGCACGCATGTGGTTACTTGTCTGCATGGGAAACAACACTTTGTTGCATTTTTAATTTGTTTCTATAGACCTTCCCACCTTCAGGGAGTTTGTCTTTGAAAGTTTGATTGGCTTCTAGATGTGATCTATTGTAAGTGACCTGTCATTGGTGAAATATGAGTGTACCTAGAATTTGATTTTAAATATGAGTGAAGTATTGGTATATACTAGTTTTTTGGTTTTGGAGTTGAGGTTGAGTTTTTGATTTAAACGTGACTGTGGTTGGTGTATATTCTTGATTTTGTAGTTAATCAGTTAAAGTAAATATATAACAAGTATGAGAATTTTTTGATGTATGGTGCATCCAAGGTTATATCATGGGTTAAAGAATTTTGATGATTGTTGAGAGGGTTGTACTAAGTTTTGCTCTACTGCAACTGAACACTAGGGAGGCGCTCTTGAGTTGTAAAAAATTACCCCTTCCAGTTGGGGTGGAAAATTCCTCTTTAAACTTAGTCTTTAGATGGTTTTTAGGGACAATAAAGAAGGCGAGAGTTCAGCTTAATTTATGGTATTGATGTTGCTTCTATTTGCAATCCATTTTACCCATGGGGGTGTTAATTTTTTAAAAGATTAGTACTTAAGCTGAGCTTTAGATTCTCAAAAATTATTCTTATTTCAAAATGGCTTGATAAAACACCACTTCCTGTCCAGGGAGGAAGTTATTTTAGCTCAAGGACTGAAATATTTAGCAGATCTTTAGACAAAAGGAACAAATTACATTTCTCTCTGGCTTAAAAAGGGTGCTTGAGCCAGAGGGGGTTAAGAAGCCCTTCCCCCTCCCCCTTATGAAGTGGTCTGGAGGGGCAGGGAGGTGTGGGGTTGGGGTCTTAAGTCTCCCTTGGATGGAAGATCTAGTTTTTTTTCTTTCTTTTTTTTTTGGTGGAGATGAAGGGGTGGGTCTATGGTACATCACCTGAGTTGTGGGGTAAATGTAGAGAGTGTCAATCAAAGGCAGAGCTCTCAGAGCTGGGAAGGAGGCTCTAGATGGCGGCTGTGCCTTAGAGAGAGCGCGCTTTGCTCCCTGCTTCGCTTCACTTTACGCAACTTTCCCTAACTTTCGGGCACCCTCAGGGGGCCCCCGCAGCCCCCTGCCTCTTCTAGTGAGTTACCGGGGTCGATCCGAACCTTTTTTTTGGGAGAAAAGCAGCGTTTAGGAGCTTTCTTTTCGTGCCTTGTTGGAAGAAGCTGCCGTATTGAGAGCCCAGGTCGTTGTTTTTTCCAGCTTAGAAGCCATGGCGCACCTCCATTTTTGTGCGCTCTCCTAATGAGGCTTTTTTTTCCCTTCCGGACCTGTTTTAGTATTAATTACTGCTTTATTTTTGACAAGTCAACACATTTGGGGACTATTTAATTTACTTTTTGTTTTTTAACGGAGGATTTTGCGTTTTTTAATTATTTTGGCTCTGATATTTTTCTACTACTAGATAGGACTCTTGCTTTGGACATACTACATGGATCAGGTAAGTCCATGATAATTAGTGATAATTTTAAAGATTTTTATGTTGAAGTTGGCTTTATTTACTGTAAATAGGAGAAATTCCTGGATGACGCAATAAGATACAGAGATTGTTATTTGTATCCAGTGTGTTACTTTGAGAAACTTTCCTTATTGATAGTGATGCTTCTACCGTTCAGTTTATCCCCTACTTATTTTAAAAAGGAAAAATAGAAATATTTTTGTTTTTTTGGTGCTTACCTTTGTTGCATTACATGACTATCGCTAACATCGTCAGGACTTTGTTCCTGATAATAAAAACCACCCATAGAAGCTGGGACCTTACCTTTCTTTCAACTTTTGACAGTAAATACCTGGGCACAGGACTTCAAAGCAAACACTGATTCCCCCTCCCCCTTAATATTTAAGAATTAAAAGATGATGAGAAATAAGGACAAAAGCCAAGAGGAGGACAGTTCGCTACACAGCAATGCATCGAGGTATGAGCTATCAACTTTCTTTTTCTTCTCTTTTTTTTTTTTTTGGGAAACCTCAGCTTACACTTGTTTACTTTGACAGACATAGGTTGCTGTTTGTGTTATAAGAATTTTCTAACTTGGGTTGATTTTTTTAAAAGCGTGACCTTGAGATTGCTAACATGCCACACCCTGATTTTTTGGTAGCAATTTATGAAAGTTGAGTTGTGACTTAGGGCCTCTTACAGCATTCAGAAGGTAAGGTACTTTTGTACCGAGGGGCCTTTCCTAGAAACTGTAGTTTTTCTGTCAGTAAATTTTTAGTTTTTAGGTTTTTGTGCTGCAGAAAAATGACCTTGTGTGTTTAGCCATTGCTGCATTGCACCATTTTACATACAAGGCAGATTTTTTTCTTTGAAGAATCTGGGATATTCAAACTTGTAACTGAGGGCCATAGAGGAGCCTTGTGGTAGTAAATTATAGTAAATAGACATTTGAGAAAGTTACATGAATGGAAAATGTATATTTAAAATCAGAATCACAAATGGGACCCTTTGACTGATGCCTTTCGTTTATATTTTTGATTGTTTCTTTGGATACACTTCCATTTCAGAAATTTTTATGACTTAACCAAAACCTTCCTTATATTTCCTGAAATCATTAAATCTGTAACACGCAAAAATCCTGGAATGCTATTAATATTAAGCTTTGTGTTTGTTACTATGACAATATAATTTTAGATTTTATGTTTTAAAATGCTCCAAGGTTTATGTTTGTGTATTCATGTTAAGATAGTGATTTGAGGATGGTAATTGTATTTTATCTTTACCTTTTAGTTTATGCTGCTTTAAATTTATCCATTTATTTTGACAGAGTCGTCTGGAATGTTTTCTCTTCTGAAGCTTTTATGTACTGTTTGTTCAAATAATGATTTGTCTCACATTCCTTGAAGTAGTTTATCAGCAACCGAAGTAATAAAACCTATAAGATATTTTTGTTGTATGACTATCTTTATCTTAATTTTAAAAGCTAATGTGCATGCATTTCTCGATGTATTAAGAACTGTCATAATTTAAAATCATGTAACTAACAAGGATGTGATTGGTTATATGTTCTTTTCCCAATTTTGATTTTAGTTCATAATTTTGCATAAAATTATTTTCTAAATTAGCTTGTAAATTTGGAAATTTTGAATATGGTTATTACAAATGATGAATTTTGCATTCTACTTAAAGATATTTTGAGTCTTGATTTTAAAGATAATTTCCAAGTTCCTCTGCAAATTGAGTTGTTAGAAATTTGGATGCCTTTTGAGTTGCCTGTGTAATTATTGGGTTATATATAGGACAAACAGCTTCTAATGCAAAACTAGTTTTCTGGAAAGTAATAATTTGAAGCTATATAGAAAGCTCCAGATATATTTGAAAATTATGAAAGACCCAGTACTAAAGTTGTTCCTCCCTTGAGTATAGATTTGCATATTCTCACCAGGGTTTTGGCTTTCTTATGCAGGTTTTTGGTTTCATTGATCAGACTGTGCTCTCTCTCATGGCAAAGTGCTGTCTTTGAATACACTTTTACTTTTATCTGGAATATGACTTGGGCATTGTCATGCATTTATTTGATTTCTTTAGTTAAAACAAGAAGCATATATTTAATGCTTTTGCCAACTATATTCTAAATCACATCATATACTTTATGAATGTCCAAATACTCTAGAATCGTAGGTGCTGTTACTCTTAAGTGATACACATTATTAATGCATGTACATAGTTATGACATCACTTCCTTTCAAATACTGTAAAGTTTAAAGGATGTTTGTGTTGTTTTGGTACAATAGACTGTTATTTCCAGTGAGCTGAAATTGAATTTACCTGTGTACCTGGTTCCTGTGTTATTAGATTGCCTAAAGAGGCTAAATTTTTGAAGTACAGTGTTTAGGGAACATTACTAAAAATCACTTTTGCACCCTAATACTACAAGAGAGGAAAGGAATTGTTTTCAGGTCAAGTAAATTTTGGAATGAGAATCACTTGAGAAACAGGAATGAACACTAGTTTTAAGTAAACTTTTTCCTGCATTGGACACGTGCTATAACTTTTACTATTGATATCTTGTATTCTTTTGAAGTTAATGCTTAATTCTAAAGTATTTTGTATATCATGATTTTTGGAGTTTAAAAATTTACTTTTTAAAATGTAATTTTAAACTATTCACATTTGTAAATTTCTAAATAAAACAGTTTTAGTGATGGACATATAAAGTATGCCACATACTTACCTAAGTTGTTATATCCAGGAGTGAAACTAGGGGGAAGAGAATGCACATGGAATCGTGTGCACACATTTCTGTGTTATAGGCACGGCATTTATAAACTCACAATTAAATGTCTATCCAGAATCATCTGCCTTTGAGCCATAATTTGATATTTGGAGGTGTGGGTAAAATCTTAACCTTTTAAAGAGCCTCTTACAAGAGCCTCTTAGCCTTGTAAGGCTGGGGGGATGGTTAGAAAAGGCTTATGCAGTCAGTGCTTGTGGACTGGATCAGGCAGTTTTCAGTGGCAGCCATTTTATGACTGATAATACTTATAAAAATCGGATTTTTAAGAAGACTGGAAACAAATGAATCGAAATCCTAAATATCAGAAGATCCCTTTCCCCATGTTCCCATTGGTACTCTGATGATGAAATAAGGGGACAGCTCGGTAGTTGGCGTAGGGAGCAGCTCTCGGAGGCTCTGGCATCTTGGTGCACGTCCAGCTCAGTCACAAAATGGCTGTTCCTTTGTGCCGCAGCGCTGACAGACATACTGCATTGCACTGTGTACTCGCCAAACAGCAGGAAGTTGCCGTGCCGAGTTCAAAGGCCGGCCGGCGCTGGCGGCGGATGCTGATTGGCTGCCTTCGCGCCTGGCAACAGCAGGGTCAACGGCGCGCCGCGGGGCTGTCCCCGCCCTCTGACGTCATTCGTGCTGGGCGGGAGAACGCGGTGACGCGTGGCCTCGTGCGCCGGTCGATTGCTTCCTGTCCGGGCCCGGGTAGTGGCAGGGGCGGGGCCGAGGAAGGGAATTTTGGTCGGGACTTTCCGGTGGGCGGCTTCTTTCCGGAAAGATTTTGATCTTGCAGTCCTCAGGCCTGGCCTGTAGTTGTCCACACCGCGCCCTGCAGTGTTTTCCTGAGCCCATTCCTGGAATAGTTGTCCTCTTTTGGAGAAAAGACACTGTAATCGTACATCTCCAAATAGAAGTCCGCTAGGTGTTTTTTTATTTCCAGTTTTCGTGGTTTCTTTTCCTTTTTTTTTTAATATTCCAGTGCGTTTTTTTCTCCCGTTTATTTCCTTGTTCATTGTAAAGAGATTAGTGAGTTTCATTTTGTTCCATTGATTGAAAACAGTTCATTGTGAGTGGAATGTTTTCAATTGAAAGGCCTTAACGGGTGTTTAAGGTCTGTGTCACACATGGCTCATAAACCAAGTGAAGAGCGCTTGAGCTTGTCCCCGTGCATTTTTACTTGGTACCAAACATTTTCTCAATTGACATTTGAGGAAGAAAAACTCAGGTCAGTATGTGTTTAGTGGTTTGTAAGAGTCTCAGTGGGTAGTTAAATGGAAAACGGCCTAGGTACTTTTAGTTGTGACTACAAGTGTCCGTGCATTAGGAAATACATTATTTTGTAGTGTCAGCAAACTACTAAAGTGTTAGTGGCGCTGGCTGAGATTCAAACTTTGCTTAGTTAGCAGATTTGCTTGTTAAGGCCTTGAGAAATGCCTTGGCCCTAGCCTCCCTTTAGTTAGTTTCTGCTAAACAAACTTATTTGTTGCTCATTTCCTACCTTTTTGGAAACCCTTGGAAGAATTTGTTCTTAAAAATAGTTTACCAACTGCTGCTTGCAATTAAATCACAAGTAAGGAATTTAAAGTTGAAGGTAGAGCAGTTAGTACACTTCTGTATTGTTTCCTTACATATTCCAGTACATCTTAGGACTATTGAGTGTGGTATTCTTAGGAGATACTATTAAGAATTCAGTAGAACGGTGCTATAAAATAGGTATGGGCACTGGATGTGGAGGCACACACTTCTCATTCAACGCTTTGGCGTTAGTGGCAGAAACTGGCTGATCTCTATGATTTCAAGGCCAGTCTGATCTGCAAACCAGGACAGCCAGGGCTATGTCCCGTGGGACTTCTTCAAAAAGAGAAACTGAACCAACGGACTGTATGGGCTTGTTGAATGTTACTGGAAATGTTTTCATGGGTGTTTGTGAATGCAACAGTTAGTTTCCCCAATGGGTTTTATAGGTTTCCTTTAATTATATTTGTTTAGGTGGAATTCTTAGGAATATAAGAATACAAGAGTCACGCAGAAAAGCTTGCACGTGATTTGAAATTATGTTCTCTTGTTTATTCTACACAAAATGCTTCACATCCTTATAGTTCTACATTTTATAAGCTAATTTAAATGTTTCCAACATTTTAAAGTGTTTATTAAATAATAGCAGCAGCAACAACAAAAACATCTTGATACCAGAAGGAAGATAGTAATTCCATGTCCCTTTTGGTGGATTGAAATTAAATTATAGTAATATTAGATTTTTAGCATTTGTTAAATATTCTTAAATTTCTGTGTGGGTTAGAATTAAGTAGCCAACCCTGCTTGCATTGTATTTATGAGAGAATAAACAGTTCTGTGGAAGGTAATTTCAGCCCAGGTATACTGCACTGTACGAGTTGATGTATTTCACAGGTTTAGTGGTTTCGGAACAGATTACAGTACCAGTGAACATTTCAAGCCATTTTTCTAAGGTCTGTTTTTTGAGCCTGTGTGGATATGGCAGAAATTGGCAAGAAACTTCTTTTTTCTTTCTTTTTGGTATGTGTATTTCATTTTTTAAAACTTGCATGCCAATTTTTTTGCCTTTTATGATTTGTATTTTTTGTAGATTAAGTCAGTGGGGGATGGGATATGTGGCTCAGTTGATAGTTTGCCTGGCATGCAAGAGGTCCGAAGTTTGTTTCCTAATTTCG